AAAAGTAGAGATATAATATTAAAGATGGAGGGGGGGTTTTTTTAGGGGGGAAAAAGGAGTGGAGGGGGGGGGGGGGGGGGGGGGGGTCTCTAAAATTTTTTTGCTCCCAGAGGGGGGGGCCCAAAAAAAATGGACCCCTGGGGGGGGGGGGCCCCAAAATTTTTAGGTTTGGTGTTTAAATTTTTCCTCCCCCCCCCCCCCCCTTGTCATATTAAATGAACTTTCCCTTAGCCAGGGAAATACGGAGAAATATTTTCAGTGAATAATAAGAGTTAATGTCAGGGATAGCAACCACGACGGTGACGGGTGCGAAACTTCAACGCGATGATTCCAACTCTATTGATTTGTCAAATGTAGATGAATTCATCAGGAGTTGAATTTCAAGGAACCTATCCAAATTCAAAGTGAGAAAGAAAAATTCGTCCCTTTTAGGTAGGTATTTGTGATCGTTACAGAAAAAAGTTGTTTTTCCTGCACTTAAGTCTACAAGTTACCCATCAAAGATATTTTACCTTACCGCTATCAGTTATATTTAAGCTTTCTCTCGTGTCCTAAATACAGTATGCCAAACAAAAAATTCATCTGCTGTTCACTGCTCTGGTAAAGGTTTATGATAACCTACCTTGTCGACTTTATTTTAACCTGCAGTATTTTTTTTACCTTTTTTTATTACGATTTCCCATTCGCCGCCAAGATAAGCAAGTTTAAAGACGCCTCAAACATGAATAACATATGGTCAATTTCCATATTTCAGCTGTTTCAGCACAATCTAAAAGCTGTTTTTAGGGAAGGGTTTTACGTTTTAGTACGTCTTAAAGCAACTGAAGAAGCAAAAAATGATGTGATTTATAGTAGAAACAAGCTCTTCATGAGCTTTTCCCCATTCTGCAGAATTGTGTCGAAATCGGCTACACATACCTTTTATCACAATTCTTAGTCATTTACCGACAGCCATGCCAGTCATTTCAGATGCAAGAATTTTAAGCATAGTGCTCCTGAACAGAAAAGTGCAAAACTTCCGACATAAATGGAACAAACTTATACAATACATCTCTCAATTTAGAAATGATTATAGCCTCTGTCAAGACTTAAGTACCCCCACAACCCACTACGCATCAGTTATCTTGACAACCTGACACACCAAAAGAAATTCAACCAAGATGTAGCTTCGATATTGCTTAGTTGGCGAAGTTAATATACATTTGGCGTACGTTTGCCGTAGACAATAAAAAAGATATTGTCAGATAAGATCTTTATAGAAATACTTCATTATATTATTATTATTATTATCTCGCAGTATAAAACTTTGGAATGCTGTCCACATTCTGAGTAGTATAGGGCGCATAACGTAACCTACATCACTTGAGAAGCAATTCAGTGCAATTTTTATTCACACTTTTATAAAATATTTACATTATATATAGTAAGGTAGGAATACACTAATAATTCATGTGTCAGTGAATATTTAGATTAGAAACAAGGATGGAACATACTACCCTCTGGTTCGCACGAACCATATTAGGGGTAATGACTGATAATAGTATCTCATGCAAATATCATATCTCATATATTTGCAGATGAATTTACAGAAATATCGGGATTAAACCAAAATTAAGTCACTTTTATCTGTTAAGCAACTTAAGCAAATTTAAGACAACTTAATTTATCCTTTCATCTCCTACGCAATTTTGGCATTGGGGTAGCACCTATAACTCGCATCTAAAAAAAGTGCAGATTAAGAGAAATTTTTTAGCTAGATTAATATTCTTTGTAAAAACACAAGGTAAAGATACCGAAAGTGCTCTCCCATTTCTGAATTTGCTAGACTTACCCACAGTATATGCAACGTTTATTCTCTGGTTGCTTTAAAATTTACCCATCTTCTGGCATAAGGGTTTACTACCCGACATGTTTCGCGACACCTTTCTTTAACTACAATACTA